AAAAAAAAAAAAAAAAATTGGGTCTTTGTCCAAGTCCTAGTCTTTTTCAATTCTGCCAGGGCAAGTTACGCTCTTATCCTGTAAAACTTCCTTTTGCTTGTTTTCAGGGTATAATTTTCTAGATGGTATAGTGAGCAGATTGGCAAATAGGAAAGAATCTTACCTCACAATCGCCTCTTATATCAACTCATTTAATATCACTTAGCCATCTATTGTCGACTCAAATGTGAAATAAAATTGTGCATATCAATGTTGAAACAAACTAACTTGAAATATGATAACAATCCATACAATTAAACTTAAAAATTAAGTAAAAGAGGTCGAGGAAACATTTTCCGGAAATTTCAAGTTCTGTTTCATCCTATTTCCTTCTTGCTTAAGAACATGAAGACATGCCAATAAAAGGCTAACCAAGATCAACAAACAGTAGGTCATCAACCCTTTTTTATAGAACAAACAAGATTTAACACAAAAGATAATCTAACCTTGCATGTGCTTTTCGAATGACAACATCTTATTATAAGCAACCGCTACATACAATACAACAGAGCTAAATGACACCAAGCAAAGATGACTCGGAAGCTTGAAAGGCATAGAAAGGCATTCGGATTTTCAATGAACTGCAGCATTTGCTACTTGAGTTGAAAAATAAAAGTCATGTTGTCCATCCTCCACAGGTACCTGCAGTGCACAAAGTGTTCGACTCCCTACAAAGTTAGAAGCAGAACTCGTTTCAGCATGTGTCACTGTGTAAGGAGACTTCTTCTTAACACTAATGATCATAAGTTGACAGGAATGGAGCATGCATGTCTACAAGTCTAAATGACCTCTCAAACTGAGTCAAACATTCTGATTCAGTTTGAGAAACAAAAACATGAAGTAGATGCATGCCAGCCAGATAGATCAATTCAACTGAAATAATAAACTGGCAGTCAATAACTGTAACCAGGGTCAGTATTTGCTAAACACGTCTCATCATAAACTGGCAACCAAAATGCCAAAGGGTAAGAAAAAAGTTACCAGATGTATTGCAAACAAGAAAAACATCAAGACTAGTAAGGCAATGTGATAAAATTTGAATATATTACCTGAGAAATTCTTCCCTGCTCCCAAACTTCTGGTAGGGTTAGTCAACTCAGTATCAACTTGTACACACAAGTTGACTCAGCTCCGGCAATAAACATGAAGGAAAAACTGCAGCTGTAGAGAACTGATTAGGATTGACATGGTAGAATTCACTAAATAACCATTCTCCTTACTGCTTCTGTTCTTCCTTTTGCTGAACTACAATACCAATTTGAACCCTACCGACAAGAAATCATCCCTGAGAGAAACAAGGCCAAGTTCATAAGACTAAATTGTATCTAGTAAATATACCACCAGCATTTACATATATCACTCCCCTCTTCCTAAAGGAAATTATAAAATCATGCAAGATTCACAAAAAGCCACATCCTAAGAAAGTACTAAAGAGATCAACCTCATTAAACAGAAATCTATCTTGGAGCTGACCATTGAACTACAAACCTTAACCTCATTAAACAGAGACACTACCTAATAATGTACTAAAATGATCAACTACTTTTTTAAATAGATAGTTATGTGTTTGTGTTATTCAAAAGCAAAAGACAGACATATTAAAGGTGTATGCCATTTTTCAGTTGCTTACTTCTTTTTATCCTCTCCCTTTTGCTGCCTCCTTGCATCATTTATCTTCTTCACATCAGCGGAAACAAGGCTTTGCAGACAAATCTCAGATTTATAAAAATACGGCATACCACTGGCACTAACATTTTTGGCTTTCTTCATCTTGAGATCATACCAAACAAGATTTGTGTTATCCTGTTCCAAAAGAACTTGATCCCCACTCCTTGAGTAAGCTAAAGGCTTCATTGACCTCAAAGAACCAACCACATCATCACATGCAAGGGAAAGCAGTTTACTCCAAGACTCCTTCACCCCATATTCCCTCATCACCCACAAATCAACATGAGATAGATAATTAGCCATCAAACACAAACACCCTCCCAAAACCCCCACATCTAACCTGAACTTCTTATTATCAGTATACTCCGGTTGCGGCACTTCTCTGTACTCCTCAAGCCCCACATCCAAAGCAACAATTACATTCTCATCTGAAGGCTCATCTTTATAACTCACAACCCAGTGTAAGGAACCAGAGGCAAAAACTCCATTTGCTCCAGGACAAGGAAGAACATAAGGTATATCTTCAATCCTCCTCCACCCCTTTCTCCCCATGCTCAAAACCTTAACTTCTGATTCAAGAGGCTTACCCTCCTTCCCACCAGACTGCGTAATCCTCACAACTTTGTAATCATCATTGACAGAATCATACCCAAATCCAAAAACATACAAATCATAAGACCCAAGTGACAAACTGGGCAACATTATGTACTTTTTCATGGAAAGATTCCATATAGCCATATCATCTAATATATTAGATATGCAAAGCAACCCATTACAAGAACCCAGGATATTGAGATCGTCACCCATCAAAGGATGTTCGAGTCCGGAGAAGGAATTGAGAGAAGCTAGATCCGCTACGCGCAGATCGTGCTTGCTGAGGATGAGTGTTTGATTGATGTGGGAGGTGACGGAGCGGTTGAGGTGAAGCTTGACGAAATCGGAGCTGTCAATGAGAGAACGGAATGTTTTAGAGACACACCTGAAGCGAAGGAGATCCTTGACGGGCAACCTGCTGAGTATGTCGACGATTAGATCCAGCAGGAGGGTCGACATCGTCGGCGTTCGGTGGCAGGACAGAGCGAGTGGTTCGGAGTTGTGCAATTAGGGTTTGGTAATTGGAGTGGGAAAATGACTGCTTCTGCTTAGGATTAGAGAGGGTGGGAGTTGAACCAACTATTGGAAAAACTATAGCAAAACGCGGTGTTAAGCCTTTGAATTGATCTCATATTCTCAGTTGAGCTTATAGATTTTTTTTTTAAGCAAACAAGTCCTTGAACCTCACAACGTGTTCAATTTTGCTCGCTTCTATGTCTTTGTTTGTTTGCAACTTTGCTGTCCATCGTTAAAAAAAGGAACAAATTAAACAAATTTTGGAGTTTAGAGACTTATCTATTTTAAAAAATCTAGGGATTCAATTGATAATATAAGGTCAGTTTAGGAGTTTAGGGATTAACGTCGGGTTTTACCCAAAATGATTTTTGGTCAATGGTTGCGTGATCTTTTTCATTCTACTCAAACTCGAGCATTTCTAGTTTTATATATTTATTTATTTAATAACATATAAATATGTATTAAAATTATAAAAATAAGTTGGTCCACACTTCATTTGAATAATGTCCACTACCTTGGACCGAGCTCAAATTAGACTACGAGTATATTTGATGAAATTTGTAATAATTTTATTTTTTTATATTATTTAT